GATGTATGAACTTCAGAGTAATGTGGCTTATATCAATTTTCCAGGATCTTTTGCTGTTTTTCTACCTTCCTCCCCCTGTTTTCTCTTCACAGGCCATGAGACTTCACAACCTTCTACATATGAGCTTTCCTAATAACTTGGGACCTCCCCGTCTAGAAATAAACCATCCTTCCTAGCCATGAAATACTAGATGAAACATGGGAACAGAGACTCATTTTCTCCTAAAATGCTTTCTCCAAAATATTTTTAAAAAGAGAAGGTGGGAAATGTAAAAGGAAAATAAATCTTGGGGCCCTCAAAAATCTCTAAGCAAAGGGAGAAGTCAAGCTGGGAACTGCTTAGGGCAAACCTGCCTCCCATTCTATTCAAAGTCATCCCTCTGCTCACTGAGATAAATGCATATCTAATTGTCTCCTTTGGAAAAGCTAATCAGAAACTCAAGAGAATGCCAGTGTTTGTCTGTCACCTACCTGTGACCTGGAAGACCCTCCCTGTCCTGCTTTTGCCTTGAGTTGTCCCACCTTTCTGGGCAAAACCAGTGTTCATTTTACATATGTTGATTGATGGCTCATGTCTCCCTAAAATGGATAAAACCAAGCTGTGCTCTGACCACCTTGGGCACATGTCGTCAGGACCTCTTCAGGCTGTGTCACAGGTGCACATCCTCAACCATGGCAAAATAAACTTTCTGAATTAACTGAGACCTGTCTCAGATTTTCAGGGTTCACAGATGGAAATGAGACATGTATGTAAGCTAAATGAATTGTTGGAACTCTTGTAAATCTTTTAAAGAGGGACAAATAAGTGTCATCAGAGTTCTAATAAGGGTTCAGGATAGACTTTGTAGAAGAGATAATATTCTGAAAGATTCTCAGTCAGAATGAAGCACCCCTAAAAGAGGCCCCTGTCCTGAGAGACCATGGTGTTCTCTCCTGTCTATTTCCCTCCTAGCTCATGCTCTCCTCCAATACCAGCTGAATTTAATCATTCCCAGCCCTCCCTTGCTGGATCTGGCCCTGTCCAGGGTCTGAATGCCCATGATCTTCTCTGCCCTTAGTATTGTTAAGTGCTCAGTGTTAAGTGTTAACTAGGGACAGTGCAGGTTAAATCCTGCCCTTAGGCAGCCACTCCAAGTCCTCACAGAGCCAGTGTGCAGCCTGCTTTGCTGAGTTATACTGGGGATACAGAACAAAAACATTATCTACTGCCCCAACCCCCCCGCCAGTTTTCTGTTTGTTTCGATGCCATTGAATTTTCTTAAAGGTTTTTTTTTTTTTCCTAGAAATCATACCTTTAATCTGCAGAATTTTAGAGGTATTGAGTAACTTTTTCTGTAATTGAAGGAAAGAAGCCCAGTATATTATTCTGTGCTGCTTCTAAAACAAAGCTGTGACTATCAGAATCTAGTGTTTTAAAAAGAGCCTATGACAGCTGATCTAAATGTGATTGTAATACTGAATTCTGTGGATGAATGAGAACTGGAGGAGCTGCCTTTTTCTTCCAGTGAATGAGCTAGTAAAACAAGTGCTTGACTTTAAGGGGAAAAGAGGGGGAGTATCAGGCATCCCCACCCGCTTTCTGTCTCTTAACTCTTACGTATTCATTAAGATGAGTGTTTGTATAAGCACAAATATTTTGTGCATGGAAACGGGTTGTCTGGACATTTAAGCAATGTTCTTTTGAAGTAATTGGTATAGTGGAGAGGGAACAATATGAGGATATTCAATTAAAAAAAAAAATCTCTGCCCATCCTACCCTAAGCTGCAACAACCCATACAATTTAGTCATTCATTCAGTTTGCACTGATTAAGTCCTTTTTATATCCCAGGGATTGTGCTATATTATTAGAGTGAAAAGATAAATCAATGCAGGCTCCCTGTTTGCAATAATACTACAATTTAGCAATTAATGGTTGATTTCTATGTACCAGCCACTGTGCCAACTGCCCTCTATGCATTATCTCAGTTAATCTTGCAACAATCCTAAAAGTAGGTTAAGATTGTTCCCATTTGCAACTGAAAACCTTGACAGACAGCAGAGTCAAATAACTTGCCCACAACTATACAACCAGAAAGTGGCAAAGACAGATCCTGTCCAAGTCCCTACTCCAAATGCTTTGCTTAAATTGCACCACCAATTGTCCTGTGGTTCTTTCTTTGAAGAAAGGGATTTTTTAAATCCCAGTTTCTATGGTTATTTGGAGTACAGATTTTTTTTTCTTTTCCTAGAGTTATGGAAACTCAGCATGGAGTACAGAATTTTTAATAATCAGTTGGGCATAATTTGTGTGGATAATCCAACATAAACTGAAATTGCTTTGTTACACAGAAATTATATTCAATGAGTACAATAAAGACACCAATTTCTGATGTACTCAATAAGGAAAAGTTACTGGTTCTAGTGATTATATTGAAATGTTTTGGCTGTGTCCCTACCCAAATCTCATCTTGAATCATAGCTCCCATAATTCCCATGGGTTGCAGGAAGGACCCAGTGAGAGAACATTGAATCATGGGGGCAGATTCCCCCATACTTTTCTCATGGTAGTGAATAAGTCTCATGAGATCTGATGGTTTTATAAGGGGAAACCCCTTTTTTCTTGGCTTTCATTCTCTTTCTTGTCTGCTACCATGTAAGACATGCCTTTTGCCTTCTGCCATGATTTTGAGTCTGTTAAACCTCTTTTTCTTTATAAAATACTCAGTCTTGGGTATGTCTTTATCACCAGCAAGAAAATGGACTAATACAGTAAATTGGTACCAGTAGAGTGGGGCACTACTGTAAGGGAATGTGAAAATGTGGAAGTGACTTTGGAACTGGGTAGCAGGAAAAGGTTGGAACAGTTTGGAGGGCTCAAAAGAAGACAGGAAAATGTGGGAAAGTTTGGAACTTCCTAGAGACTTGTTAAATGGCTTTGACCAAAATGCTGATAATGATATGGACAATAAAATCCAGGCTGAGGTGGTCTCAGCTAGAGATGAGGAACTTGGGAGCTGGAGTAAAGGTGGCTCTTACTATGTTTTAGCAAAGAGACTAATAGCATTTTGCCTCTGCCCTAGAGATTTGTGGAACTTTGAACTTGAGGGAAATGGTTTACTATATCTTGTGGAAGAAATTTCTAAGCATTAAAGCATTCAAGAGCTGACTTGGGTGCTGTTAAAAACATTTAGTTTTAAAAGGAAAGCAGAACATAAAAGTTTGGAAAATTTGCAGCCTGATGCAATAGAAAAGAAAAATGCATTTCCTGAAGAAAAATTCAAGCTAGCTGCAGAAATTTGCATAACTAATGGGGAGCCAAATTGCCAAGATGATGGGGAAAATGTCTCTAGGGCATGTCAGAGGCCTTTGCAGCAGCCCCCTCCCATCACAGGCCCGGAGGCTTAAGAGGAAAAAAATGATTTTGTGGGCTGGGTCCAGTGTCCCCCTGCTGTGTGCAGCTTAGGGACTTGGTGCCCTACGTCCCAGCTGCTCTAGCCATGGGTAAAAGGGGCCAAGGTACAGCTCAGGCTGTGGCTTCAGAGGGTGCAAGCCTCAAGCCTTGGCAGCTTCCATGTGGTGTTGAGCCTACGGGTGCACAGAAGTCAAGAATTAAGGCTTGGGAATCTCCACCTAGATTTCAGAGGATGTAGGGAAATGCCTGGATGTCCAGGCAGAAGTGGAGCCTGGACTGCAGGGGTGGGGCCCTCAGAGAGAACCTCTGCTAGGGCAGAGCAGAAGGGAAATGTAGAGTTGAAGCCCCCACGCGGTGTCCCTGCTGGGGCACTAGCTAGTGCAGCTGTGAGAGGTGGGCCACTGTCCTCCAGCCCCAGAATCGTAGATCCACTGACAGCTTGCACCATGTTCCTGGAAAAGCTGCAGACACTCAATGTCAGCCCATGAAAGCAGCCAGGAGGGAGGGTGTACCCTGCAAAGCTACAGAGGTGGAGCTGCTCAAGACCATGGGAACCCACATCTTGTCTCAGCCAAATCTTAAAGCTCCTTTGACCCCATGTTTCAGATCCAGATCTGAGACATGGGGTCAAAGGAGGTTTAAGACTTGGCCGCCCTGCTGGATTTTAGACTTGCATGGAAACTTTAGCCCCTTCATTTTGGCCCATTTCTCCCATTTGAAAAGGGTATATTAATCCAATGCCTGTACCCCCATTGTATTTAGGAAGTAACTAACTTGCTTTTTGTTTTACAGGCTCATAGGTAGAAGGGACTGCCTTGTCTCAGATAAGACTTTGTACTATGGACTTTGGAGTTAATGCTGAAGTGAGTTAAGACTTTGGGGAACTGTTGGGAAGGCATTATTGTTTTGAAATGTGAGGGCATGAGATTTGGGAGGGACCAGGAGTGGAATGATATGGTTTAACTGTGTCCTCACCCAAATCTCATCTTGAATTGTAGCTCCCATAATTGCCACATGTGGGAGGGACCCAGTGGGAGATAATTGAATCATGGAGGCGGTTCCCCAATGTGCTTTTCTCTTGCTAGTGAATAAGTCTCATGAGATCTAATGGTTTTATAAGGGGAAATCACTTTCATTTGGCTTCATTCTCTCTCTTGCCTGCCACCATGTAAGATGTGCCTTTTGCTTTCTGCCATAATTGTGAGGCCTCTCCAGCCATGTGGAACTGTGAGTCTATTAAACCTCCTTTTCTTCATAAATTACCCAGTCTTGGGTATGTCTTTATCAGCAATAATAACATGGACTAATACACATGTAAACTTTGAAAGATGGCCAAGCATGGTAGCTCATGCCTGTAATCTCAACACTTTGGGAGGACAAGATGGGAGAATCACTTGAGCCCAGGATTTCAAGACCAGCCAGCAAAACCTTGTTTCTACAAAAATTTAAAAATTAGCCAGGCAAGTTTGTGGCAGGCCAGGTCTTTCTAACGCCTGAACAGGTAGGCCTTTATGACAAGTGTTTCAGCACTGAGTGGTTAAGTTAAATATTAAAAGCTGGTAGAACCAGTGCCCTATACCAAGGCTGGAATGTAACAAAAGCCCACAAAAAGTTGCCTAGCCCTTTCCGAGGACTTGAAGCATGAAAAGATAACAAAGGAATTCTTAACAGGACCCATTTGGGATTAAACAAGTTTTATTGTGGGTCTTAAGGAACTCCCCAGACCTTCACAAACAAGCTTTCTTGGGGACTAAAGGAACTCCCCAAAACTCTGTGATTTAGCAGGAGATAAGATAAAACTAATCACCCTAGCACCTGGACCCATCTAGATTACGTAAATTAATTGAGGCTCCAGAGGAAGACCTTGAGGACTCAGATTTTATTTGCAGATTAGAGATCAATCACTTATGTCTTTAGATGAATACACACATACACATAGACATATAGCTTAGGAGATATATAAGCTCTGGAAACTTTGTAATTTTGAACTGGTCTTGTGACATTTTCCAGGCCTTCTCCCTATACTCAGTTACAGCAACGAACTCCCTTCTTTCCCAGTTTATCTGCATCTCATTACTGGGCTGCAAGAATAAGCAACCTAACCTTCGGTTTGGTCCAGGAACAAGTTGAGGTATGCCTGCCTACAGTGACAGCTATGCAGGAGACTGAGACAGGAGGATTCCTTGAGCCCAGGAGTTTGAGGCTGCAGTGAGGTATGATTGCAGCACTACACTCCAGCCTGGACAAAATAGCAAGTCCCCATTTCTAAATAAATAAATAAACAAATAAACAATTTTGAAAGACAAAAGTATATAATGAGATTCTCAACTCCTAAAACTGATTGGATTTTCTGAACTTCAAATTCTGTTTTTTTCAATGAATATCTAATTTATTACAATAAGCTGTTTTAAAAAACAAGATACAAAACCACATGCTTATTTTGCCTAACTCTTTTTCCAGTTCTTTTCCCAATGAATATATATTATTTTTACTTCTGCCTATTGCTACCAGGGACAGAGCCTGCTCTTTCAAGTAGAAAATCTAATTGCAAAGCTGTTGCCTCTCTGTTCGGGTTAACAGTGCCTTTTCCAAAGGCTTATTCACTCCTCCCCAGCCTCCTCCCTCTCTACCAGGCCTTACCCATGGCTCGAATTTTCTTCTCACTGACAGCCCTCACATTCAAGTTCAACTTTCTCTCACCTTAGCCAGCGGGTGCTACCAGAGTTCCCTCAGCACTATCAGCCCGCAGGATCCTCTCCAAGCAAGTGACCAGCCAGATCCTCTTAATTCTCAGTTGACAGGGTATATAGACACCCTGAAAACCTTCTCCAGGCTTTCTGTGTATTCTTTCAATGCATGCCTTTAGCTGGGAAGGGACATTCTGATATATGTGTAATAAGTAAAGCCGGGTGGCTCGGGATGTTTTTATATTTGCCCTTGCACAGGCAAAGTTCAACAGCTTTGTAACTGTTTGTTTTAAGTTTAAAATGTCTGTGAGTTTGGCCCTCTGACAAGCAGAGGGTCAAGGATAGATGCTGCTGCTTAGAAATACATTACAAATAAATGATGCCAAAGGGCAGCTCCCACTGACTCCATCTTTAGCTCTCCCTGCCAGGTATGTGTGGGCATAAATTAGCACAGGAACTGGCCTGAACAGGGTGAGAAATCTTCAGAGACTTCCCTGAGCATAGCCCAGAATCAGGACCTAAGAAAGATTTCAAAATGGCCGAGTGGCTTTGGAAGGGTCATTTGTGAGAAGGTGGGGCCAAAGCCCTACCCTTTGAATGTCGCAGTGGAGGTAAGGGAGAGTATGTCTGAAGTACATGAGATTTGTTAAGACAACTCTTAGTATTCCTATGCCCTGTGATTACAGTCAATGGAAAATTACAGCAATCCAATCCAGACAGGACTACTAATGGCCCAGATGCTTTAGGAACGGAGGTTCCGGTCACCTCACCAGGTAATGATCCATGACCAGCTCAGGTGCTTGCTGAGGACAAAGGCAATATGGAATGAGTAGTAAAGGAAGATAGTTATCAATACCAGCTACAACTACATGACCAGGTATAAAAACAAGAGGTGGAATTGTCATGAGTGTTTCTTCCTCATTTTGTTATGAGCATGTTACCGTGTGTATGGCATCTTTGTTTTCTTCCGTTTCTTATTCCTTTAGCATGTAACATAAGATGTATTACTTTATCTCACAGAATGTAATATTGCTAACTTTATATTAGAGTGTTTAAGTTACAGGATGTCAAGAAGAGTAAATATCACCTGTGAACCCCCCAAAATGAGACAAGTTTCAGTCAATTTAGAAAGTTTATTTTGCAAAAGTTAAGGACGCACACCTGTGACACAGCCTCAGGAAATCCCGACATGTGCCTAAGGTAGTTGGTACACAGCTTGGTTTTTTACATTTTGGGGAGACATGAGACATCAATCAATATATGTAAGATGAATATCGGGTCGGTCTGGAAAGGCGGGATAACTTGAAGCAGGGAGGGGGCTTCCAGGTCACAGGCAGATAAGAGACAAATGTTTTAGTTTCTGATTAGCCTTTCCAAAGGAGGCAATAAGATATGCATTTATCTTAGTGAGCAGAGGGACAACTTTGGATAGAATGGGAGGCAGGTTTGCCTTAAGCAGTTCCCAGCTTGACTTTTCCCTTTAGCTTGGGGCCCCAAGATGTATTTTGCTTTCACACAGCTAAAGACTTTGTATCCTCTTCTGGGGAAAGGATTAGTGCTGTAGAATGCAGTTATATGAAGGATAGTTGTGTCGTGTTACACAGAACTACGATCTTGTTATTGTCTTTATTTGGAAGTTAAATATGATTTAAGGAGATATGTGTGGGTCCCAAATGGACAAGGAGCGAACTGGTGATGGTTAATTTTATGTGTCAACTTCGCAGGAGTGAAATTGTAATTTTTTTTTCTGTAAAGGTTTTATTATGCAGAGGAGGGGGTTCAGTCCTTGGCAGCTGCTTTCCTCATGGCAGCCAAGTACCCAGATACTTGGTCAAACAGATAGCAGTGAGGTTGACCAAATGTCACTCTCATCACCATTTGGTTTTGGTGGGATTTAGTAGGCTTCTTTATGGCAACCTGTTTTATCAGCAAGGTCTTTATGACCTGTATCTTGTGACCTCCTATCTCATCCTGTGGCTTACAATGCCTAACTATCTGGGAATGCAGCCCAGTAGGCCTCAGCCTTATTTTACCCAACTGCTGCAAGATGGAGTTGCTCTGATTTAAACACCTCTGACAATGCCTCTTGAGCCAATGTCACATGAGCCAATTCCTTAAAATCTCTCTCTCTCTACACACACACACACACACCCCCCACTGTGTATAGATTGGTTCTGTTTCTCAGGGGAACCCTGACTGATATACTCATTTAGCGTGGTCTGCTTCCTGGACTGGACTCTAATACAACATTGAAATAGATTCCTCTACTGTGGAATTGGTCTCTCCGGGACCTGGAGCATAGGTCAAGATAGGGGGCTGTCTCAGGCCAAATTGGACATGTGACACTTGCTTTTCACCCCCTCCACCCCCTGAGGTCTCTGCAGTCCCTGCTGTCCAGGTGCTCACAGCCCAAGGAGAAGAACAGGCACATCCAAAGCTTCCTCCCTTCCAGGACAGTTTGGGCACAATGAGGTAAGTTAGGAATAGCCACAGAGCTTTGGAAGCAGGAGGGAACTATTCCTTCAGCTTCGGGAGGGTGATATAAGTCAGGCATAGCCATGGAGCTCTCGATGAGGAGGAAGCTACTCCTTCAGGTTGGGGAAGAAAGGAGGATAAGCAGCAGGAGATGAGGATGGCCAGGGAAGTCTGGTCCATGTCCACTAGCCTTTGTTCACTGGAGGTGCATTAACTTTACATAAAAGCATCTCAAAGACCAAAAAGCCTTCGAGACCTAAAGAAGTGAGTCTCAAATGATGGTGTGCCCGGTTCCTGAAAGAAATATTTTGAACAATGGAGCCTTCCCAAGCATTCCCCAGACCACAGTGTATTATTAATTGGCAAAAAGAGAAAAAGGAAATCTCAAATAAAAAGGAGCATGACTACTTTTGGTGTCATCCTTCCTTCTCTCACCATTGTCTACCAGCTCTGTCATTAGCCATTTTCCTCAGAGATGTTTGCTTCAGCCTCTCCCATTCTTTCCCCTCTCTTCTCCCCTTTCAGTCACCCAGACACCCTCCCATTCACCCCTTACCTGCAGCTGCCTGGTCCATCCCTCTGCATTCAGCACTGCGAGGGGCTCAGGGGAGGAGCTAGCAAGTACCGGGTCACCAGGGGGTTGCTGTCCAGACTACCCCTCCAGCAGCTCCAGGTGGTGGCCTTGGGACCTGCCCAGACGCAAACCACTTGGAGAAGGCCCTGTCTCAGGAGAGTGATGCAGAATGTGAATAGGGCGTCAGCTGTGGCCTGAGCCGAACTGGAAGGAGGAGCATGCAGAAATAAAGGAGCTGAAGAGAAGAGGCTGGGGAATGGCTGTGGGGGGGGTGGGGAGCTTATCTCCTCCAGGTAATGTGTCTTCAGGGGCATCCCTCTGATTCACAGCAAATTCACTGAGTGATGGGTGTGCTCTTAAGGCAACATAACCATGCAGCAAGGTGTCTTTTTTAGGAGGCCCTGGCCAGCCAAGGTATCTCTAGGGTGTTCTGGTTTAGCATTGCCTTCCAGCTGGAGACTTCTTGAGGCAGGCTAAAGGCTGCTGGAACCTCTCTTGCTTCCTCACCCCTCCTAGTTCCCCAGGTTCTGCAGCCAGCCTCCAGTGCAGGAGGAATTCAGCTTACCTGTCTCAACACCCTGCTTCCTCTCTTCACTCACTAGGTCACGTCTGGGGAGATGGAGGATTTCAATTAGAGAAGAGTCAAGAAGAGCATGGGGCATGAGGAACACACAGTAGGGTTACCAGGAGAGCTGGAAACAAAGACCACAGATTGAGCAGCCTAGTCTCCCAGTGTTGACTGAGCTAGAAGGCAAGGCCCAACTGGCAGTGGGAAAAGAAGTGACCTATGAGGGGCCCTCATGTTTGCTGACTTTCAGGGCATGCCAGGTTATCCTGAGAGGCTTTCCCTTAAATGGCTGCTTATCATCCTCATGATGTGAGGCTGTGGCTGCCACAGCAGAGAAGAGTGGAAGCCATGCTTGCAGGAAGAGTGTGTTCTGCAAGCCGAGGCTGGCTCAGAAGATAAGCCCCCATCCCCACACAAAAATAATAGAGCTCCATCCAGGGCTGGGGACCTGCAACTGGAAGGCGGAGTTCAGAGTCTTATCCCAAAGGTTGCCAAAGAGAGACATCCCATCAAGACACCATAATGGCGAGGACAAAAGTCAGGAAAAAGAAATGAAGTATAAATAAAACAAGTCAAACCACCATTACTGCAGGTACTAACTATTATTATTAACCCAGAATATTTAGAAAAGCTAACGTGAAAATTATTTGAATAATAATAATTCAAATTATTATTGTATTCAAGTTGGCTGAGTACAAACAAATGTAAGGAAAAAATTAGATGCTTTCCCATTCAAAATATATAATAGAAGAAATCATAAAAGTCACAATAGCAATAAAACCTAAAGACGAGAAAATGTAAAGTCATGATAAAGGATGTATATCATTACTGAGAGACATGAAAGATGTACTGAAAAATCAAGAGATATACCGTGTTTCCAGATAGGAAAGCAGCATTATACAAGATGGATTTCCCCCCACATGTATCTAGAATTCAATCAGGCTTTGGCAGCTTCCTCTGCAAGATGCATCTGTGCTTCCTGTCACTACCAAGCCACCTGGCAGCCTGTACCATTTACTAATGAGCTTCGAATACTCCTGCCTACTCATGGCATTTGTCCAGAGCCACACATCTTGACCTGTCTCCAAGTCCGTTGTAATCTGTCCTGAACTTCCCAGCTCATGCCTTATTTTACTGTCTTTGGACTAATCTAACGTACTCTTGTGTGTGTGTGTGTGTGTGTGTGTGTGTGTGTGTGTGTGTGTGTGT